CCCCACCTGCCCGCCAGCCCCTTCTCCAGGCGCCCCACGCATCGCTGGGGGCAGGGGCACAGCCTTCCAGTCCCCCAATCCCAAGATTCCCACCCCCACCTTGCTTTTAGACTCCCTTCCCCTCAAGAGTCCTGGAGGCGACACCTCCACAAGCACAAGCCCCTCCAACCTTGGAAAATGAGCTCACTGCACGGGGAAGCAGTCCGGATATAGGCCCAGATGCCCTGCTTCTGCCACCAGGAACCACCCAGCATTTGACCTTCGTACATTACTTCCCCTCCCCCCCGCCACCATTTCCCCACCTGTAGCCAGCGGGCCTGGTATAGTAGGGTTCCAATGTTCCATCCAGCTTTAAGATTCTGTGGCTCCGTTTCCACATCTCTCTGTCCCCACTACTCCCCGAGGAAACATCTCTTTTTCCAAGAATAAAGGTCTCTGGAAGGAACTACTAGGTCCCAATTTGACCCTCTGGGATCTCGCTGAAACTGGGCACCAAGTTCAAGGCCATGTGTAGAACAGACCCTCAATAATACGCCTTGACCCTTAAAATGTATCAAAGAATGTTTTAAGTCCTTTGCTGCAATTAACTTATTTAATCTTATTAATATCTCATAAGATAGGTAACATTGTTATCTTCTATAAATGAAGAAAGATCACTGTAAATAGAACATGCATAAGCATTTTTCAATTTTAATAAAATTTCTAGCTTAGGAAAAAATATGCCTTGAGGCCACATCCTTGAATCCTTAGAAAAAGTTAAGAGGATGTTGGTGGAGAACTTGGCATGGAGCTGACGGGCAGGGGAAGGTGGAACTGGCCAGGCCCAAGAGAGGAGAAAAAACAAGCCTGGGGCGGGAAGGGGCAGGGGGCTGGCCATGATGGTGCTCTGTGTAGAGAAAAGGTTTCCCCCTGTGACCTTGGACGTGTAATTTGCCTTCTCCAACCCCAAGAAGATTTTCAGATTCAGAGCAGCACAAGGGGGAGAGGGAGAGGACAGCTGTTCGTCTGTCCAACGCCCTGCTTTAGGCCAGCAGCCCGGTGCTGGGACCCATGTCAGCCTTCCCACACCAGGGTTCAGAGAGGCTCGTTAAGCTGCCATGGCCACAGCTGGGGAGCAGGGTGCCCACAGGACATCACCGTGTATGGAGAGCGGCTGTGCTCTCCAGGCCTCTTTCACTGAAAGGAATGTGCTTGGCCCCTTGTCTCACAGAATATTGAGGGGATGAAACAAGACACCAGGGTGGGAGTCAGCTGTGTCTAAGCAGAACATGTGAACTGTGCCCTAAAACTCAACGTGTGAGACCCACCTGTTATAAGCTGGTGTATCCCCACAAAATTCATATGTCAAAGCCCTAATCCCAGTACTTCCGAATGCACGACCTTATTTGGTAATAGCATGGTTACAGATGTTAAGATGAGGTCATACTGGGGTAAGGTGGCTCCTTTTCCAATATGACCCGTGTCTTTATAAAAAAGAAAATTTGGACACAGACAGACACACTCAGGGAGAATGTCCTGTGAAGACTGGAGTTAGGCCGCGCCAAGCCAAGGGACCACCCGAAGCCGGGAGGGAAGCCTCAAACAGAACCTCCCCCTGCGCCTGCAGAGAGAACAGGGCCCTGCTGCCACTCCGACCTCAGACTTCCAGCCTCCAGAACTGTGAGATAATAAATTTCTGTTGTTTAAGCCACTCTGTTTGTGGCACTTTGTTACAGCAGCCCCACACCCTGATCCCTGATCCCTTATCGCTCTGAGCCAGGTAAATTGGTTCTAAGCCTCTCTCCTGAGTATTGTTTAGGCAAGGCCTTCACTTCCTCAGAGATAAGCAAGAGCCTGGGAGCCTTTCCCAAAGGAGACACTGCAGAAGGCTCTCTGGTCTTCAGTCTGTCTCCCACAACTGGGTCCTGCTCCTGGCCCCAGTCCTTTTCTCCTACCCTGTAAAATCGGACAGCAGCTACTTCAATACCAAGACAGCCTGGGGAAGAGAAGTAGGGGTCTTGCCAACCTGGGGCTTCATGTACTGGGCCCTGGACACTGATGCCTTATGGGCACCACTCTGCTGGTCCTCTGGGGCCCCACACCTCCCCAGGGAGCATACTGAGCACAGATCTTGGTACTGACCTCATACTGACCTCAGACTCCCATCCTCCCCCCAGCTGTGGACTTTTACACACACACACACACACACACACACACACACACACACACCCTCCCGCTCCTGTCAGCAGCTTTGGTCTCTAGCCTTGCAAGCCCCTTTCTCTCCTAGCCCTTGAGATGATGGAGTGCAATCTTCCCTCAAAGTATCTTTAGATACCCAAGTTCATCTCTCCTTTCAGGATGCAGATGGAAGAGATGCTGACAGCCACCAGTTGTTTCATACGAGCTCATCCTATTAGACGTCAATGTATGCTTTCATTATTCCCACCCAGATCTCCTGGCATCCTGGAGGCTTTTGCACAGTGTCCTAGTGCCTCCTGTGATTGTCAGTCCCCTACAAAGTGTTCCCGATGGGGTCTTTCTTCATTCCTGTGACAAGAGTGCTCCTTACATGCATAAAGGATGGCCACTGTGTGTGCGTGTGAGAGAGAGAGAGAGAGAGAGAGAGAGAGAGAGAGAGAGAGAGAGAGAGAGGCAGAAAGTGTATGTGTGTCTGCCCTGTCAGTTCCTAGTTCAGAGCCTGTAGACACTCAAATGGTGACAGGAAAGGTCACAGCAAAGGCAGGAGCTCAGAGCAATCCCTTGCACCCTCCTCCGCAGCCCAGTCTGACTTGAATATCCCCACCACGAACTTCTCAGATGAATTTTTTAAGGAGTCAGCATCTTTACTACTAGAAGTCGCATAGAGGAGTGGTTAAGCATGATACCTGGAGCCTAGAAGCCTGAGTTTATAGCCCAGCTCTGCCGCTTGACAGCTGCATGACCTTAAGCAAGTTATTTACCCACTATGGGCCTCAGATTTCCCCATCTGTAAGATGGTAATAATAATCGGGATGTTAAGAGGATGAAATGAGTTCAACCATATAAAACAATTACAACAGTGCCCGGTACATAGTAAATGCTCCATAAATGTTAGCTAGTTTCACTACTACTACAAATTGAAGACACGCAAGTACCGAAAAGCCCTCAGGAAACTTGTAATGTGAAAAATGATGAATGTATATTCCGGAAAAAAAAATGGAAGTTGGTTTACATTTCCAAGGACAATAAGTCTTCCAGCCAAATTGAAGATGACAACCATGGAAATTTATGGATGAAATGAAAGAAGACAGAAAGATCAGAATCACTTTTATCTCTACCAGGGCAGCTTCTGATACTCCTTGGCCAATGGACCGATCTTTGCATTTGTAACCCTAACTTAGCAGGCTAAAGAGTTTCTGGAAGATGGTAGGATGTGGGCTCAGGAAGTCCCAGGTTGTCACTCAGACTGACCTGGAATTCTCTTTTGTCAAGACTATCTCTATACTCCAACAAAGCAGAGCACCCAGTGCCACTTGCTGCTGACTGGCCTCGTGGTAAGACCTTCCTTTTACAAGAGGAGTAGCATGGCATTGAGAAGGAGCCCAGACTCTGGAGTTAGAGATGCTATCTATGTAAACTACCAGTTCGATGGTTGGCATAGAATAAGTGCTCAATAAATGTCATTCTTATGATTTACTATTGTTGTTACTCTGCAGTGGTTTATACTTGTCATAATCCATGTGTCCCTCAGGAAACTTGGACTCAGCTTTGAAACAAATCCCATCTTAGGACAGCACTGCCTGTCCCTGGAGGTCCTTTCACTCTTGTAGAGACCACCTTTCAGCTCCGGAGGTATGGATTCATCTGTGGCCTGGTTGACATTCTGATATATGAAGCTATGTCCCCCCAACACCATCCAAGCAGGTAGCCTGCTTTGAATTTTGTTGTTTGAGGGGATGGGTAGGACAAGAAGCCTGCAAGCCTTTCTGCCTTTTGTTCATCCAGAGCCGAAGTCTCAGGAAACCTAGGGAGGTTTGCAGAGGAGGAAAAAGAAAAGGTTAGCGAGAGTAGATGGCCAGAAGCTGAGGAAGGAATGGAAAAGCAAGAGTTTGTCCTCCCCAACCAGCAAAGCAGAAGGATGTTCCCCCTAAGGTCAGGGGGAGCGGCAGGGTTCAGGGAATGAGCGAGGCCCATGAGTCCTTCTGGGGTTTTGAAATAAAAGGTGGTTTTGAAAATGCTGTAAAGTAATATTTCACGCATACCCAAGAGTGTAAACCGAGATCCATGTGTTCACTCTTTAGTCTATACCAGGCGTTGGGTATACATGGGTAAAAACAACCCGATAGAGTCCCTGCCCTTGGGTAGCTTACAGACAACAAACAAGCACATAAATTTATAATTACAGAATATGACAAATACTATGGAGGGAAAGCACTGTTACAGAGAACACTCAAGCAGCATAGTTAAGGACATGCCCTGTATGAAAGAGACAAGCAGACCTTGTCTGCCTGGAATGAAGGCAGGCGCCATGCAATGCAAGCTGGGCTGGAGAAGCAAGGGAGGGGAGAGCATTCTGGGCAGAAGGATGAGCTCAGGAAAGGCCCCGTGACAGAAAAGAATGGGATCTGTGTGGATATTTGGGTGCTGAGGATCTAAATATTTTTCTGGTATCCCTGGAAACTGGTGCCACAAGAGAACAGATTAAAAAGGACTAGGGGGTGGGCATTCTGATAGGTCTAGTTTCGGGGAAAGACTGAGAAGGCCCAATGTGAGATCCAGCATCCCCTTGGTGAGAATCATCTTCCTAACCTGAGCTTCCTTACCTGTGAAACAGAGATTGTACTGAGTGTGATAATGTCAATACCGGCACAAAGCAGGTGCTCCAAAATGGCTGTGATTATGATATTCTCTTACTGTAACCTTCCCCACCTTCATGACCTGGCTTCGAGGTGACTTCTTCCACTCCTTCCCTGGACTTTAAGCTCCTTGAAAGCAGGAGCATGTCTGATTCATCCTTATATTCCACCCCCCATTCCTCCCACGTAGAACCTGGCACACTTTAAGAGCTCAATAAATATCTGTGGAATTGAAGGCGAGTACACAAGTAATTATAGTAACTAATAAACTGAAGAATATTTTTGTGGAGGACAGAGAAGTCACTGAGTCCAAGATGATCAAATGACAAAGGATGAGCCAAGG